CATAAAAGCAATTTTTTAGTTAACTAAAGCACCACGAATCATGTTAGTAGAGTTGAACAACTATTTAAAAGAAGAGAATTATTTTCCAACTTTTTTTCAGATAATTACTTGCTGTGTATTATTTATATTTTAGACATTTTTTAGTCAAATAATTCTATAGACATAGTTGACTAGGTAATATTGTTCTGAATAGTATCATGGCTTTCATTGTTTCATGCATCACTACAGTTAAGAAAAAAGTTTTCTACAAGGACGCCAAAATGAGTATAGATGAAATTTGATGAGATTTGATGAAAAAGAGTTTATCCAAGTAAACAGATAAGAGTACCCAATGTTTTCACTATAACGTCGGGACCTTCAAGAATTTGTCGAAATTTTTCCAGCATACTACTGTAGTCTTTTAATATTGCCTACATTGTATGAAATTTTGATGGTAATTGGTCTAGTAGTCTGCCAGAGGAGACTCTCGTCTTAAAAGACAAAGATCTGTTTTTAAGACCTTTTTCAGATGAATGTGTTTTTCTTGTCTGATTATTTTGGTCAGTGTTACATAATTATTTTTTTATTTTATTAGTCTGTTTTGTAGAGCTCTTCAAAGACTATAAAATGAGTTTTTATTGTGGACCCGACATTTCTATATGTGAAAAACTTCAAAAATATGAAAAGTTTTTTTATGTTTTCTACTTACCTAATTTAATAATTTCTGAACTTATATTTTAAACTTTTCGCAATGAGATCGTAATAAGAAGATGAACGAACAATATGGTTGAACAGAGAATTGAATTTTGCATATACTGATACACTTTGTAAATTTTCGTAATGAGTTCTATTCCAGAAAGAAAGATACTTTTTACTAGTGACCTATAAATATGTGATAATATCAATAATTTGCCGAAAACGTTGTCCGATAATCATAAATTAGTATACTTTATCAAATGAGCAGAAAATCAGTCAAATCTAAAATTTTGATTTCCACACGATCGTTGATTCTTGTAGATATTGTGTCTTAAACTCTTCATCGTGCATAACTTTTCTGAAAGTTTTGCTTTTTCACCTTTGAGCTCGGTCACTTGCCACACCTATAGCTTATGAACGAAGCAAAAGAAAAGTTCAAAATTTTAGCCATGAACTGGTTTTGAGATTTACTATGTACAGTAAAAATTTCAGCCAAATCGGTTACTTTCACGGGTCTGCGTTTCTAAAACAGGGGTTCTCGACAAACAATTGTTACAAACGTGATAGGAGACAAATGGGAGGCGTTACACATCTACATCTTTGAGTATCTGCACTATCAGTTCCTTTTCTTTTGTGTGAAGCTTTTTTTTAATTCTTTCAAGGTACAACTCATGTTTGGTGGGGAGTCAGTTCATGTACAGATATGGTACATGTTACAGGTGATTTTCTCGTCAATCAAACAAAGAAACGTACATTGTTTAATATTAAATGTTATGATGGCAAAATTATTAAAAATCATTCAGCATATCCAAATGAAAGCGAAACAATTCTACCACCAGGAGCATATTTAAAAGTTAAATCATCATTAGATTTTACGGAAAACCTTTGTATTGTTGATATAGAACAAATACCACCAGCACCAGAAGAAGTTGCTCACAGTGCAGGTGATGCTGACACACCTGGTACATTATCATATAGCAATTCTTCTCAAATTAGCGATGTTCATATCCTATGGCTTGATCCAAACGTTAATAAATCACAAGAAAATGTTAAAACGCAAGAAAAATTAAAAGAATTGTATCCTAGTTATTACAAATCGTTTGAAAAATATGATGAGTTGGAAAAGTTCATTGAGCAGAAGCAAAGTTGTGGTGTGGTATTGGTTACCGGTGGACAAATTGGAAGCCAAATTGTACCGAAAATACATGATTTATTACAATCAATATCTCTAATTGTCTATTGTATGGATAAAGAAAAAAATGAAAAATGGTCAAGAAATTATACGAAAGTGATTTAAAAGAACTATACAAGTTTGACTCGTTAAACCTTTTTCTCTTTTAGGTGAAAGCAGTTGTTAATCGTTCGGATGATATGATTAAGCAAGTGAAAAAAGAGTATGCACAGCTAGTAGAAGAGCAAAAACAACAACAACAAGTGACAGAATCAAAAAGGTAAGTGTCTCATTAGGCAAAAACTTTGAGTAACTGAAGTACTGACTCTATTTTATTCTTTTAGTAGTAGATTTAGCGACTTTCAGCAAGAAGCAGCCAAACTTTTGACACCGCTGACAGGTTATCAAAACCAACCACTTGTATCACTTGAAGAGTCACTAGCGCCAGTCATGGATATAATATCCGATTTACCCAAGTATATATGGAAAGCAAAGTACAATTGCACACCTCCGGCGGATGGTTTGACACCGGATGAATCTGCGTCCATACGGATTTACTCAATGGAATTTAATGCACCCGAAGGTAGTCTTTATTCTTTATTAAATCAAGATTTACGTTCAGCATCACGACATGCAATAAAAAAATGGTTTCTCTATCTAAAATTATTCTTCCATGCCTTATTTAAATTACCATCAATTGAAGGCACTGTTTGGCGTGCTTTACCCGGAAATGCAAGTATCGACTATGAAATTGGTAAACAATTTATATGGTGGGGTGTTTCATCAACGGCACGGAACATGTCGATTCTAAATGGGTACATTAATAGTAAACATGGTCAAAACACATTATTTTGTATTCAATGTAAAAACGGTAAAAGTATAAGAAACCATTCATATTTTACCGAGGTAGATGAAATATTGTTAATGCCTGGTACTAATCTTGAAGTAATGGGCCAATTAGAACCTGCTGAAGGACTACGTATAATTAATCTTAAAGAACTTGATCGACCGCTTTTTTTCCAATAAATTTTTCATTAGCTTTTGACTAAATCTTATTTTCACAGAAATGGTTCATTTGGTTACGAGCTTTTGAAAAAACAAGAACAAAAACCCATATACCGAAGTGCCCCGAGTGGCTCGGAGTGCCGTGGGCTTAAGGAAAGTTAATAAATTTTATTGAACTGAACTGTCCCATAAATCTCTGTTCCTACAAGCAGAACAAAAACGTTCTGTCTGTGGGAAAATAATTCACAAAATAAAACACAATTGTTCCGCTATTAGAGAAATTTCCTAATAAAAGAACAGGGTTGTTCGGTTTGAGGGAAGAATATTGACGGTTTTATTCTAAAAGAAAACAACACACTTCGCCACTCCGAACCATTGTACGGAGTGTCGGAGTGCGCTTTACTTCGCGGAGTGGCTAGAATGGCCAAGTGCGTTTTTCTCCCTTGGCCAAACCCTCATCCTCCATAATGAACAGTGGCCTATTGAAAGCGAAAAAAAAATGAAACTATGAACAGACAGAAACAAGAAAAACAGTCCAGAGTATGATTATTCTTGATTTTGGTCGTTTCTGATGAGAAATATTTAAGTTCTTTTGATAACTAAACATGCTTGTTCATTCGTTTTGCTTTTGCGCACGGCATGGTATTTGCTTTTGAAAGTTTTCGTAATGAAATCTTCATAGAGATAATGGATTGTTTTCACTTATCGATAAGTTGTGTTTGTTATTTGGCTTAAGGGTACCCCCGCGCTCTTTTTTGTAAAAATTTTCGATTTTTAGCTAAGCATAGAGTAACGTAGAGGAAAGTGTGGGCTACAAAATAAGACTACTCCCAGTATACTGGGACTTTGTAACTTTTCGAACAAAAATCGTGGAGTATACTCCACGATTTTTGTTCGAAAAGTTATAGATTTTTGAAGTTTTTTCTTCAAAACCTAAAAAAAGTCAACTTTTTGGCTTCATAAACGTTTCTCTCATTTTCTGTACATGCAAAATTTTTCTTACACATAGTCTGATAGAAGAAAGTGTTTTCTTCACAATGAGACGTTTTACAAAGTTTTCCGATGAGTTTTCGCGGAGATGTAAGCATCGCAGCAAATGCTCTGAAAAAAGTGCCCTATGCATCAATTGCATCACTACAGAGAGAATAAAATGAAAATGAAAGAGTTTTTGAACATGAACCAACCATTTAGTTGGTGCCTATACTAATAATAAACATTTGAGCGTCGCAAGTATAGGGGCAATTACATATTATATATATACACACACACATATATATATATAACCAGCAGGATGCAATACAACCCAATTATAAGTCACCTGTAAATCTATCTAACCAGAAAGAGTAAAGTAAGGTTGCGCCACAATTTTTAGTTCATCAACAATTTCTCTTGAAGTTTGAAAGATTAATTTACTCTATTTCTATTATAGTTAGTAAGTTCATGATATATCCATTGTCTAGATAGTCCTAAAAGCGCGAAAATGTTAGAAAAACATGATTTTAATTAATGTTTATGTAATAGCGACTATACTAATGAGGCCTTCTCACCTAACAATACACACATCATGTTAACATTATCATAGTCTACATAATTGTTTCATACAATAGAAGAATAAACTGTAACTTTCTGCACGTAGTGAGACTGTCTAAAATTTCGAAAATTTACTGATTATATTACTGTACATGATATAACTATTGAACATTTTTGTTTTCAGTTATTTATTTCACAATGCTGTTGTACTGTACAGCTCGTTCTTTCCATAAGCGCTGATTAGACAGGACAAAAAGTTTTCTTCTCATATTTGTTTGAAATAGGACTAAGTTCGATTTTTAAAATTCCATCGCGCGGATACAGGTGGTAACCTGATGTAATTTTTATATCTGAATCTGATCGTATTTGACTCGTTCTTCACCTCGATCAGTCGGTTAACTATCTTGCAAATCAACAGATTTCAATGTTGAACGCACAGATTATTTCCTCACAACAATAAACTAGAGTAAAGTCTCGAATTGTAACCGAAAACGAATTTTGTCTTTGAATTATCTTGTGGCTTTACTTCCCAACACTTCTGACCTTCAAAAATTGCTCCTGTTCTCCTTGAAAAAATTATTTATCATTTTTCGTCACCAGTTCAATGACCGGCATAGTTCGGTGGTTAAGTTGTTCGACTCATACCCACAAGGCACTGTGTTCGAATCTCAGCGTCACCCAAATATGTAATTTCTTTGGACAAGTTACTCACGGTCTATTGCTTCGGCTTACCCGTCCGATAACGACCTCACTATATTGCGGCACACGAGAGAGTGTTTAGCGGATTTAATAATAATCTTCTTCATGTCCTTCCCAATCACGAACTAAACTAATTTGACCGGTTGGTTGGTTAACTGTAGAGAGGAGATGAATAATGACTAACGTTATAGTATAAAAATGATTTTCTTTTCTGTGACGTTATCCATATATAGTACTGTTTATGTATAGCCGTTTGAATGAAACACAGTGGGCAATTTAGCCTAGGCATGTAGACATTGGATTTTAAAGCGCTGGAAAGATCTCTCAGATATGTTTTTGTAGGTTTTCGAGTGTGCTCTTTCTAATAGAGTCACTTACAAAGTTCAAAATCCATGTTTTAAGGGTTTTCTGGAGATCCGGTCTATAGAAAACCTTTGCAAAACCAGTTTAGAATTTTTTAAATAATTCCATTGAATCAGCCGTACTCGGAAACCTATAAAACAATTATTTGTAGGCCTGTAGATCTCTTTTCTAATAATATAAAAACCACCGGCCTCAAGTACCACGGTTCCAAATTTAGTCTTTCACGAAAACTTATAATTTTTTTACAAAAAACTGCTGTGAATTATATATCATTCGATGCAAATTTTCACGCTAATTCCGAATATATCCTTACTTTTTAGCTAAGATGCTTTTTTACTAAGAAAAACGTAAGAAAACGATAAAAATCCGGGGTTTTTGTAAAGTCTACAACTTCGCCCAGACATGTTTGGGCAAGTTTGGGCGTTTCATCTAGACGTGCCACATACAGAGAAACAATTGCTGAAAGTTTCATTGAAAACAGAGCTTGGATGTGGATGGCGTGTCCACTTTACTGGGCGGATGTTTCCGAAAGACATCTCGTGCAGATAAGAATCATGTTCTTTTCTTTTCGCAAACCCGTTCGGACAAAAATTTTTTTATGAATCAATAGCCCAAGTGCGCAGCTTTCAGAATATATATGTTACAGTTTTTAAGTGACTGCTTATTTGACAAGAGAACACGATTTTCGTCGAGTTGTAGCAAAAATTGCAAAAAATTGGGACTTACCCATCTCGACCACTTGAAGCATTTGGATCAAATATTTTTCACTATTAAATTGGCCATTGGCTAGTGTATATAAAACGCTATTTAAATCATTAAAAACGTAGCTTTCGTTTTTTCACCTAATTTCCATGTGACTGCCCACTGTGCGAAAGAATAACGAAACTTTCACTTTCATTCATGTTATATACCTATCATATATCTTTTTTCTGTCTCTCTATGCGTTAATCGTTTCATCAAAAAAGGTGTGAAAGTATGAAAGGGACACGTAAAAAAGATGCCACAAACTCAAGTAGTCTGTTATCGACTATAGCGTCTGTCTTTATTATTACCTTTTTCTGCGAACAATCATTATTGCCTTTACTCTTTTATTGTCTTTAGCCTTTTGTTGCCTTTAATCTCTTACTGCCTTTAGCCTCTTATCGCCATCAGTCTTTTATTGCCTTTACTTTTGTACGCAATTGATGACTCTTTCGAATGGAAATACTTTTCGGGCTCACTCGCATCCAGCTCCCCCAGTAAAAGACTAAAGGAAGTAAAAGACATATTCAGTTATCCATCAGAATAACTTTTTCTTAGCGAAAATTGAGTATTTTAAGAGGGGACCTTTCTAACCGTTCAATCCCTGTTTTCACCAAACGTAGTGCGTTATAGGTTATCGATCATACTGATTCCGAATATCTATATAAGACCGGCTTTTTATGAATCAATAGCCCAAGTGCGCAGCTTTCAGAATATATATGTTACAATTTTTAAGTGACTGCTTATTTGACAAGAGAACACGATTTTCGTCGAGTTGTAGCAAAAATTGCAAAAAATTGGGACTTACCCATCTCGACCACTTAAAGTATTTGGATCAAATATTTTTCACTATTAAACTGGCCATTGGCTAGTGCAAAGTTTTTTGAAAAACCTATATCTCGGTCCAGAAGCATTTGGGCTATTTTGGGATAATACAGTACACGTATCATATAGAGAAGAGTGTTCTCTGAAAGTTTCATTTTATTTGAAGTTTAGAAACAATTAGGAAACTCACTTTACTAAACAGGTGTTTAAGAAAAAACTCTGAGCGTAGAAAGAAAGATTGTTTTTTTCGTTGGAAAGGAGTTAGAGGACAAATTTTTTTATAAACAGGTAGACCACGAGCTCTACTTTCAGAATATGTATGATTTATTCCTTCAGTCTTCCTTCATTCTTTCTACCTTCTATGAAAAAATGTATTTTTCTAAGAGATAGCTAAAATCCGACCTTTTTGAGGTCCTGGGTTTTTCAAGTAAGTTAGAGAGTTAGAAAAACATTTTTGGATCAAAAAGTTCGTCATTAGCTAAAGTATATTGGGCATTATTCATATCTCAAAAAATCTCACTTTCATTTTTCCACCTAATGTCCACGTGATTGCCCACTGTGTGCCGGTCAGTGGTTTTTGAATAACTGAAGAACGAAAAGCGATAGAGACTTCTGATTTTTGTGATTAAATAGCCAAGACTTTAAATTATCTTTTTATAACTAAAATAAAGTAGAAAGTAGTTCTCAGTGACCGGTTTTCTAGGAGATCTCTAGAAAACCGTTTTGTAACTGTAAGCGACAAAGTAGCACTCGAAACATGTTTCGTATAGGTTTTCGACAATGCTCTTTCCAGTGGCATCGTTTTTAAATATTGAGAAAGTTTTCTGAAGGGTTTTCCAGACGCCGGATCTCTGAAAAACTCT